ACTACTGCTACTTTTTTACAATTAATGCAGAGGTGTGTGATAGAAATGGTGATAGGTAGAAAGAACCAAAGCAGATTTACACGCTATAAACTAAATTCGCACATCATATAGTCGGTATGACTAAGCATCTCAATTTATGCACGGCGGGGAAGATCCTGTTAAAGATGGAAAAGTTCAAGGCAACTCACTCTACATCGGGTACCTCCGCTAGTTCAATATAAATGTTACTTTGTTGCTTCAACCAAATAATAATTGGACTATATAAATAAAAATGTGAATGTGCCATTACTGCATCATACGACGAGATGCATAACTTTCTTAAAGAAATCATTTGCTGTAAAAAAATTTTAACTGATTTAAATAATTGTTGTGTAGTGATATTATTATGTGAGCGAAAAATAATTTGTTCCACGTTTAGAAATACATTCGCTAATTATTCAATTAACAAATAATCTTCCTCATTTTCTATTGACCATTCATCTTCAATTTTTAATAATTTGACTTTTTGTTGCAGTAATATATGTAGCGGTGATGGTACGTTGTGCAGTAATACAGTCAAGTATTTTAATGGTAACGTGAGTGCATTTAAATTCGATGATTGCTCTAATATGAGTTGAAGCTGATCGAAACTAATACAATCTTGTAATAATAGACTGGACGAGGTGGTGCATAAAAAAGGTTTCTTTAACTTTTTGAATTGAATAATTTTATCCAGATGAGACATTGATAATCTGCTTCTGAGATCTAAACTAAGTACGTTTACATTTGAAAATTGACTCCTTGTTGTTCTAGATGAAAGAAAGGTAAAACATGTAGCATGTATGGAATATCTTTTACAAGTTAGATTTTTTATCTCATTCGACTCTCTTGTTCACAGTGCTTGTAAGAACAGATACTACACAGATTCGTTCTATAGAACTTCTTCCCGTGAAAACTTGAGTTAGTTCACCATGTATAGCATCAAAAGTTAATCATTACCCCATCTCTTTTTTATTTGCAGCCACTGTAACTTATGGGTGCACCCACTGATGGGTTTAAAACTACTTGAGTTATAACTAGTTGGGGTTGAAATTAGTTATAACTAATTTAACTTTTAGTCTAAAATTTACAATAGTTATAACTATGAACCACAATTATAACTATCAACTCGCCTTGATTGATATAACTGCAGTTGAGAGAGTTATAACTATTTCAACTTTAGTTATAACTGTGCCATAATACAAACTGAAATGAGCTTTCATAATTTTATTTTGAGTTGGTAGTCATTACTAAAACTGATGCAGTTATAACTGGAATTGGAATGGTTATCACTCTACCCATTTGGAATTATAACTCGTTCAACCGCAGTTAGATCGATCAACCCGAGTTGATAGTTATAACTGGAGTTCATAGTTATAACTAGAGTTTTAACTGTATCGGCTTTTTTTAGATATTTTCTCAACTTTAAACTTAAAAAAAACAGTTTTAAACCCATCAGTAGTATTTTACGAATGATTAAACCATTTTTAGTCGGAGAAAAGTGGTGACTACACAGGCAACAATAAGAAATATGGAAGGAACTCCATAATTTTCGACGATGAATCTTCTTTTTTTTGTTTTGCGTTTTCCTCGAAAACTATTTTTTTGCTATCAGACTTCATTGTGTCACATTACAACCTCCCTTAAATTTCATCTGATCGAACTAAAATTTTTATCGGAGGTACTCAAGGCACTATTGCAGAGGTAATTTTTGGGAATTTTCTTTAAGACTTTTCTTTACCGAGTTATATGGTTTCTAAAATTGAAAAACTTGGTATTTCAGACATTTTTCAGTATTTTTCTTATAACTTGATCAGAAAAGGTCATAAAACAGTATTCCAAAAATTATCTCTGCGATATGACCTTAAGTACCTCCGGTAAAATTTTTAACTCGATCAGATGAAATTTAAGGCGGGATCGTAATGTGGCACAATGAAAAACCGAGTTTTCTTGAAAACTGATGAACGGCAATAGTTAAAAAGTAGAAACAAAAAGGAAAGCGTGCTCAATTGAGTTTCCAATCAGTTCTGAAAATATGAATTTTCGTCTGACGGACTCTCATGTGATGTATTCAAAACACCAAGTCGAGAAGGCTCAACCTTAGACTTTGATCAGCTCAGGTTGACGACAAATAAAGCGGATCCGATTCGGTCTCTAACGTCTGCTAAACTAAATACACACCTCCTACATTTTCTTTTGATTCATTATGTATAGCCAAAAATTTAACTTGATCATACACAATAGTACCACTGGAGTCGGAGAAGGGTGATATCAAATTGTACAATGCCGTTGAATGCCAGTAATAACAAAAAGGTTGAGTATAAAGTGATAAACGATCTAAATTTTGTTCGTAATCACATGTAACAGGAAAATAACGAATAAATCTGTTACATCCATTTGTTAAATTCTAGAAACAAATCATCTAATGATGTTTGTTCTAAAAACATATTTAAAATGATAATTGTAAATTGAAATATTTCTAATGCTGGTAAATAGGCATGAATTAATTTTTTCCATGCGGCAACATCCGTATAGGTAAAATCATTCGTATGCATCTTATCGGTGAGAAAATAAAATTGTTTGAGATTTATACCACATAATTTTAACAACGATTTAACTTGTTCAAACTGAGTGTTTCGGCAAATGGTCAGTTTCAAATACGTTAACTTTGATGATGGAATATAACTTCTTCGAAGTTTTGAAGATTAGAAATCAAAGGTAAACGCATTTATCAGTTTGTTATATATGGAAAATCGGCTCAGTGCCAAAGTCTTTCCTTGAAAACAGTTTGAAAAGATTTTAAGGCCCACCCCCCCTCTAAATTTTTTTTTTCCCCAGAACACTCAATCTTACTGAAATTTTTATTGAATATGTATCTGACCATTGATAGTTCTCAGTATAAATTTGAGCTCATAATATTGAGTTTTTCGCGAGTTATTGTAACATCAAG